GAAACAACTCCAGCATCACAGCCCCTGTCCTTCGCCGGCAACACCACCGGCAGTATTTTTTTTTTTTCACACAATCCCTTTGAGATGATAAACAGGATGTCACACGAGGTAGTTTTGTTATGGAAATTGAGTCAATAATGTTATCAACTATTACAAGACATTTTATAAATTGAAAGAAAACAATGAATCACAAAAGGCTTTGTTAAGGTTGATCGTCATCTGGTTTCAATTTCTGTTTCTTTTTGCCCTTGGGGGCATTTCTTCCACTGAACCCTGTTGCTTCTTTCATGACTTGTTAGAGGTCAGCTGCACAGGAGCTCTTTTTAATTATTTTTTTTTTTTTTCCCCCCCAAGGGAAAGATATTGCCTGGATTGGCCTCCCCAGCCTTTTGCACAGCCGGTTCGAACTCCGATTTGCAGATCCTGGCCAGTTAGACTGCCGGGACGGGGGGTTTCAGCCCTGCAAAGTGCGGCTGACTCTTGCCCAGCGCTGGCACCGCCCGCAGCTGCACGGGGCCGGGCGCTCTTGGATACTCCCGGCGGCCGTAGCTGAGCTACCCTCACATGCCAGGGCCTTTCCCAGGCACTCGGAACGAACTGGCAACCTTACCGACCCACAAGGAGAAAGCTGTACTGACTGGAAATTAAAATGCTCGAATTCATAAGCAACAAACCGAGCACAGAACACCCGGGAGCGGCTGCCAGGGCCTCTGCCACGTTGAGAAATTCCCGTTTTTCCCCGCGAGCCCCTTGGACAAAGCGGACCCGTCTCGTGCGAGGGCAAGGCGAGCCACAGCTCCCCTCGGCACCGCCTTGCGACAGCCCAAAGGGCAGCGGGCGCCTTGGGGATGCTCCTCCTGTTAGACCCCACCTACGCCCTCAGTCGGCAAACTTCCCACAAGCCAAACCAAATGTCTTCCCCCAAAACCTCCGCGTGGGGGCTTTATTCAGCTTTCAGGGGGTCCTCCAAGCAAGTCACGAAAGAAGCAACTGCTGCAACATCAAAACTCGGGTTTCTCTGGGTCACATTTTAAATACTTATCCCTGAGCTGCTGTGTATTGCAAAGAACACACCGTGAACCCAGAGAAACGCCACCGCTTGATACTGACATCCATGCATCACCCTCCACTTACACATCATCTACAACGTAAAAATTAGCTTCATACTTAAACTAGTTCCCCAAGTTTCCCCCTTTCTCCTGCCCTTTATGTGGCAGGGATGATTGCCGCTTATTATCCTGAGAAATACAGAAATAACAACATTTTCACAGACACCAAGCTTCATAGCTTCAAATCAAAACCAAGAAAGTAGAAAGAATGAACGGTAAATAGCACATTCACGGGAGAGGCTTTTCTTTTTTTTTTTTGTTTTTAAAAATGCGGTAAAGATAAAAGAAATTCAAGTTTGTTTTTGTTTTTTTTTTTTAAAAAAAAAGGTTGGTTTGAAGGACAAGACATAAAATCCTTAACCTGAGGTGGCTGCGGTTCTGTGCAGAAGCCTGAAGAGCAAAGGGCAGGCGGACCCTGCCGTGTGCGGCAGAGGGGCGGGCAGCAAGCGGCACCGGGC